ACCTCCTCATGTCTTGTTGCTCAGTTTATATTTTTTTTACACCTCCTATATATGTATACAAGTGGTTAATAAATCAGAACCACAAGTTTTAGATACTGGCAAGCTAGAATATAAATTTAGAACCTCCCACCACTTTGATGATTTACTGAGAAATCAATGTATCTAGCAAATCAACTAGAGTGGCTTCTCCTCCTACTCCATCCTTTCCAAACCTCTTGTTTAGTTCCACCTACTTTTTTAAGGGTCTGTTTATAACCAATAGAAAAGACAAGTTGTGCTTTACGTGATTCTGACAGTTGTTTGTAAAGAGCTTGGAAGAAAACATAATAATTTCACCAAGACTGTTGAATGGTGATGACGAAGTTGTTGGTCTGAACGGAAATAAAAAAATTGTAAACACATATATACTTTATTGATAAACCCAAGCAAGTTACAGATGCTGTGGGTGTACTATTTGAGTAATTTAATACATTCTTTCTTTCTAAAATTATACTTCTTCAGCCACCACTCAAAAAAACAAACAAGGCTTAGCACTAAAGGCACACGAGGACAAAATATTTTCCTATCACCATAATTTTTCCTAAGTCCAGAATTAACCGTTTTTCTATGGAATTTTCATTTAATGTTCATGTTTTAAGCATTTATGAGTAAATATTGGTGTTTTACAACTGTAAGGGAACTTCTGAACTACACTTTAGCTGCAAAAGTAAGAATGTTTTCCAAAGCAGACTAGACTGCAAAACTAAATGAGTGTGATAAGTAGTACTGAAATGGAAAATAGAATTTTATAAGCATGTGCTCAAATAACATCTTTGTACACCTATGCCACTAAATTCCAAACACCTCAAAGGGATTACCAATATTCAAAGAATTGCAATGTGCAATGTTTAGTGCATCAGCATCAAGCCACATAAATGTTTTGACAGGTTGAAAGTGCAGTGTTGCTACTCTCGAAAAGTCTTGTGAACACTGTAGGATACATAAACAAGCCGATAAATTACACATCTTGTTGTCGGCATAAACATTTTCACTGATTCTAAGTAAAGTGTGATTACTTGGAAATTTCCAAGAAAACATTTTAGGATATATATAACCCAATACATTAGAAAATACTGTTCTCAGAGCAGGGGTTGAGTCGACTATCTTTTCACGCATGCTTTCTTGCTTTCAGGAGTATCATATTACAGTGGTGTAACGTAAGCAGTCTACTGACACAAGTGGCAATTTATTGGTTTATTTTCAGCAGAGTTCTATTTTAGCTGTTGACTGTAAAATAAACACAGAAAATAAATGTGAAATTTTTTGCAATTCAAATTCTTTAGAGAAGTACTTTGAAACTTTGTGACCAATAATAACTAAAAAGGCACAACTGCTCATTTTATTTCTAATTTTACAACTTGTCTTTTCATTATACTTTTGGGATTTGTCTGCAGGCTGAAGACTCAAGTATGTCATTAAATAACTGATAAGATATAGTTTTACTGAAAACAAATGTATGAAATGTATTCAGGAAGTTTTAAAGATTAAACAAAAGAAATTTGAGATTTTTGGGATGAAGAAAAGTTTTTTAATCATAACAAAAAAATCACTTCCAATCGGACTAGTAACGAAACCGACTCAATATATTCACAAACAAATCTTTAGTAAAATACTTTATTATAATATTTGATTTTTTGTGTACAAAAGACTTGAATTGTTTACTAAAGATATACCATATTTTGTGAAGATGCATATACTGAATTAAAAGTTATAGTATAAAAGCTTAACGTGTATACGAACTCGAGTATATTATACAGAGCCCATTGTGAAAGGGTTAACTCAGCTTCTAAACATTTTCTAGAACTACAAAATTTGGGCAGTTTTAAATATATAATATCCTTCTGCCATACAACTGAGGCTCACAGTTACATATAACAGTAACAGCCAAATCATACCTGTAGTTCTTTTTCTGTTAAAAGGTCCATCACTAGCTGTTTTGCAAACTATAAAACCAAAAATACCCAAAACTGTAGTTATATTTATAAATTCACATTTTATTTATCTTACACATTAGTGTTAACATTATACTCAATGTTTTAACTGCATGAAGTTTTATATTTTTAATATTTGGAGAACTTTAATAAAAATATATTTTATACAAATACCTAAAATATTTTGCAACTTAATTACATTTCTTTCACCAGAATGAATAACAAATGTCAAGACTAATACATTTCTCAGTTCTGATGACCAGTATTAAACCATTTTTACCTCGCACTTTGAAGGTTCTCCACTTATCCTGAGTGCTTTGTCCATTCCCGTCTGCTGTGGACTATCTTGAATCATAACCATTTTTACACATGCCCGCTCCTTAAATAAATAATAATATATATAAACACATATACATTATCAGACTCCTATATCAAGATTCTATATGACATCTTCTTGTCACAAATTTTAAAAAGATTTTGAAAATAATAAACTATCTACAACATCTTGACAACTGCTTACAATTTCAAGAACACAACTTACCACATGGCCACCCGAAGACCAGTTTGAGTGATATAAAAACAGCTCTCTCTCTCTCTATATTCCTAGTAATTACGTACTTCAAACTTGTAAATTCTAAAAACTAATTTCAAACATGGTTTTTGCAATTGGAAAATGCATATTTATTTATTTGTGTTTCTGTAAAGTTGCTATTTAGTTTTATTTTTCAACGCTATAGGACAACACTATATTGCAAAGAAAACAGTGTTGCCCGAATTTGTAACATTTGTAAAAGTAAATATTTTTTTTTCTTCTACCCCACAGTAAGTATATTGCACACATAGATATAATAAGACTGGAAGGGACAAATCAACAACCACTTACTTTGTCTACCATATTGAAGCAGGGAGAAAATGAGAAAACGCCATGCATAAAGAAATGCAATTCACTAGATCTGTGTCATGAATTAGAAGAAGAAAAAAAAAAGGCCAGTATGCTAGATTATTGTTGTTAGAAGAGGAAAAAAAAACACAATGTGGCATTACTTTTCACAAGTACAAATAACTAAATTTTAGGGTCATGGGATCTAACTAAATTAGTAAAACTACATGCAGTTAATATTCATTCAGTACTCGTGATGTAGATTTATACATGTAGCTGAAATATCAGACTTTAGAACCGCTTTTTATTTTCTTCATCACTTAGGGAACGAAAATCATTAAAATAAGTTCCAGGCTCTGCATTAACATAAGTCATTGTCCTTGGGAACAAGGTTTAGGTGTTTCAGAAATATAGATCTATTATGTTACAGATAATCTTAACATTTTTGTATAACACTGCCAGTCTAGTTGTATGAACAGATCAAACTCTACAGCTTAGTAGCATTAGTACTATAGAAAATCAAAAAACTATTAAAATGCAAATTCGATTATGAAATCAAATAAAAATTCAAGAAAGTAATTTCAATTTGTGTATTTTTAAACAACATGTCTATCCACCTGCTTGTACAGACTTTGAAAATAAAACTACATACAAACTTTTCAAAAATGTAAATAACATGTTCAATTGGGTATGTTCTTTTACAGTAATATTGGAACACTGTGAAAATATTTTTTCCAGACTGTATAGGAACCTTGAGCCAATTCCACTACAATCGTAACTAATTATCACAAGGTTTCTCTCTTAAAATTAAAAGTCTGTCATACAAAAAATACAACTTTTATATGGGAATCTCAAATTTAAGTATGTATTAAATTTTTCTATGATGCATTTCCTTTAACTTTATTGAATAGTGTGGTCAATTGTGTAAATAATCCTTAAGTTAATTCTTACCATAGAACTTTCACTTTATAATCCTAAAAACAAAATACTAACAGAATGGGCACTAGTAATCAAAAGAATAAAAAAGTATAACACTTTACAGACCCCCAAATTAGAGTAAGATCTTTTAAGAATCCCTTGATCATACAGGGTTTACTGTAAGACTACGATATAGCCTTACCATCAAATCACTTGATCATACAGGGTTTACTGTAAGACTACAATATAGCCTTACCATCAAATCACTTGATCATACAGGGTTTACTGTGAGACTACGATATAGCCTTACCATCAAATCACTTGATCATACAGGGTTTACTGTGAGACTACGATATAGCCTTACCATCAAATCACTTGATCATACAGGGTTTACTGTGAGACTATGATATAGCCTTACCATCAAATCACTTGATCATACAGGGTTTACTGTGAGACTACGATATAGCCTTACCATCAAATCACTTGATCATACAGGGTTTACTGTAAGACTACGATATAGCCTTACCATCAAATCTCTTGATCATACAGGGTTTACTGTCAGACTATGATATAGCCTTACCATCAAATCACTTGATCATACAGGGTTTACTGTACGACTACGATATAGCCTTACCATCAATTCACTTGATAATACAGGGTTTACTGTAAGACTACGATATGGCCTTACCACAAATAAATGTAATGTATCAATATATGTTTAGGAAACATTGTTCTTCTTCTGGACAACTTAAGAGCAATTAATAACTTTGGTAATGCAAGTTACTGCAAATATAACTTCTTTAGTTAAATATTACAAATATAGCACAAAATTTATACCAATTTTTAAAAATTGCAAATATTATATTGTTTATACATCTTATGAAATTATTATTCATAACACTATTTTTTTCCAGATAAACCTTTTGTAAAACTTGCATTCACAAATTAAATTTTTTATTCACCAAATAGTATTTTGTTTTAGTCAACAGTAAAACTGCATTAAATAAGGTTGATATGCAGACTAATATAAAATGATCAGATATAATGATTAAAAAAAAAATTGTGTGTGTACAAGTTGAGAAACTTAATACAGCCAATCACTCAGCAGAAGGTAGCTGTAGTAGCAACACTGTTGAGCACACTTCAAATTTTCAGATTTAGATGATGATATCCAAGATAATCAAATGTCTATATTATACTTGTATGCACCTTATATACTTTTAAATTTGGCCTGTCATAAGTGTAGAATTCAGAGAAATCTGTTGTCATTTGATAGTTTGTATAACAAAAATTCAAGTATAACTACTTACAATATAACATTCACAGAAATGAACTTATTGATTTGTTTGTTTGTTGTTAAGCACAAAGTTACACACTGGGTTACCTGTTGTGTGCTCACCACATTTAACAAAACCAGCATTTCAGCATTATCAGCCTTCTGACTTACCACTGAGTCACTAGGGGGCACTTCTCATTGAACTTTTCACTTGAAAAATATACGTTTTCACAAGGTATACCTGTCTTGCACTTTATAATTAACTACCAATGCATATCTTTATGGGCCAAGCATATTTTGGTGCCTTTCCAAATATTTTTCTGCTATCTAAATTTTAAAATGTTTACTGGATAATTAGCTAATTAACAATTTACTTTTTCAATAGAGGATCACTGTAAAAAATTCCATCAGAACATATTGTTAAAGTTGTCACATGACAAAATTAGGTACTTGCAGTAATAAAATCACATGAAAAACATAGATCATTTGTCTGCAAGTGGATAATAGTATTTAAAAAAATATAAAAATAAGCTTTGGGATCAGCAGAAACATTCTACAGAAGCACTGTTTACAGTGAGATTCCAGAGTTACACAGATATGAAAATTGGATCATTTATTTTACATGGTTCATACCAAATTGCTCAGATCAATTTCAATTACTTTTCAAGGATTTTCTAAGCACCCTCAGAATGTTTTTCAAGCACTTTTTCGAAGCTAAAACCTTCACCAAAATCAATTGGATTCCACTGAAAGTTTATAAAATTCCTATTTATTTGTTCAACATATAAATGTAGACTAGAAAGAAATACTATTTATCTCGCTCAACTCCGCAACATGCATTAAAGTTAGATATATTCTGCTTTTATAATATTTTCAAGTACTTTTGCAAAAAAAAACAAAAAAAAACAACAATATTTTTCATTCACATTTTGAAATATGATATGCACACACTGCACTTGAAATCCATACATTGGTTATGATAGGGATCAAATTTATGACCATTGCAGAACAATTGATAATATCATAACAGATGTATAGATCCTGTGATTATGATCTAAAGATTTAAATTTTGTATTTATAATAACATAGGATATAAAAAACTCACCTAAAATATAATGGTGCTTAAAAACCCATTTCAAGTAATTTATAACAGAAGGAATGTTAAAAAAATATTATTTTACCCATCACATAAAACATGCTTCAACTCATAGTTTTCAGAAATAAGGAAAATATTTTTACATCCATGTGGGTAAATTATGTTGCAGTTCAAAGTCTTATTAGTTGCTTTTGGCAACTGGAAAAAAAAACTACAAAAAAAACAGACTTTGGACAAAATGCTACAATTTGTTCATTTGCTGAATAGCAGAACCAGGTGATTCAATTGAACGTTTACTTACATCTATGATTTACATAAAGAAACCATAATCAAACAAAGTAATATTAAAGCTTACCTGAAGTTGTCTTATTGTTTCACCACCTTTTCCTATGACTAGGCCTACTTTACCACCTGGGATTATCATATCTATGACCACTTGTCCCTCAGGTACTTGATTAACATCCATATGAATAGGGGGCGGACCACCTCTGTTTATAATTTGCCCCATTAACTCTTTTGCTCGTCTGTTACAAAACAGCATACTATGGTTAAAAAATGGTTAATATACCCTGTACTAAAAAAGGCATTAACTGTAAATACACATAAGTGGTCTTTACATCCACACATACAAACTTGATTCAAGTACTGCTATAACCAAACTACATTTTGAATCACACAATTTACAAGTTTGATATTTAATATAAAAATACATTCTCACTTACTGACAATGATGGTCTGTAAAGTTTAAAAAAATAGTTTTTGTAACACTTCTTTCATAAATATTTTATGCTTCACACATTCTTTTTAGCAAACTATATTTCACTGCCACATTACAAGTTCAAAATAATTACTAAACTTATACGAATGATGTAGGTAAGGTTCAATGCAACCTTAATAATGAAATACTAAATTTATGATTCAATAAATTTCACTTTTGTAAATTATCAAAATCATACAGATATTTTTAACAATATCAGTGGAATTTATTTCCTAAAACTTTAAACAAATACATATGATTATTTAAATGAACTAAAATTCCTGTTCTGATACATAAATAACCTATATTTTCAGGTAGGATATTTTATTTCAATGTAATCATTATTAATTACATTTTAAATGTAGAAATAGATACATCATGAAATATAAATTTGAGTATACTTACTCTATTGATTGTTTAGTTCCGGTCAGTGTACACGATCTGTCTGGAGTACCTCCACTATCAGCTGCCATCTGAATTTTGCATCCTGATTCAGCCTGCAATCTATTGATTTGTTCACCACCTCTTCCAATAACTTGTAATAATAATAAACATATACGCAGATAAAACATATAGAGATGTATATTCGTTCATTTCAAAACAACAACTTCCAAAACTAAATGTAATTCTACACAGCAAACATGCGGCAATGTTTACTTTTAATATAGGATTTGAAAAGCTTAAACTCATTTCTTTGTAAGCCCAATGACAAACTTTTGGCATCAATAGCTTTATTTATGGAATCTCTTCTCTCATATAAAAACATACATTAAAGTCATTGATAGAGACATTACTTTTATGATTCTGATTTCAAATATTTTTTTGTTATGCATGTGATTATATAAAAAGCAAGAACCTTAACTAGTTAGAACCATATGAATCAAAAACATTGTAACTGAAAAACAAACCTTATATATGACACATTAGAAGATTATTTTGTGTATGGTTGAACTTATATTTTGAAGCCTCCCGTATGTGTTTGGAGAATTTTACACTGTAGTTTATTTCCCCAAGGGATGTTTCATAGCAGGAAAATGACTTGCAAGTTATTTCTGCAAAACATTTAAGTATCAAATGGTTGAATTATATCGCAAAACTTGTCTAATTCCCCCCAATGAAGCAGATCATTAGTGCCAACCTGCTCACATTACAAAGAATTTGGGTAATGTTGGTTTCTGTAGTTTTAGTAGATCTGAGCAATTAGTGAAATTTGATAATCAATTAATCGGTGGGCCTATTAATTGATTATTCTCACATGACACTTGGAAAGTTAAATAAGGTCTGCTTTTTACAAAGTTTGGAGTAGACCCACATATTGATTTATTTTTAAATTTTTATAACATGTAACTAAACAGAAATCTCTTAGCTTCTACCAGCAAATATTTTACTTACGCAGACCAACCATTTTATCAGGAACTTTCCACTCTTCTACTGCAACTGCATTAGAACCAGGAATAGATCTGAAATAAAAATTCTTGTAAACACTTTTCCAAACTTTAACATACAAACTATCTGAAATATGGCTCATTTCTGGAATTTGGAGCTTTTAACTACAAAAGTTTTTAGTACTTTTTCCACAATCATAATGAACAAAATTTATAAACCTTTCATGGGCTGTTCAGAAGGATTTAATGTATTTCTTTACTTAAACAAATGAAAGGACTAATTACTTAAGAACCCAATATTCTAATTTGTATGAAACACATCATCGAAGTCTTAAAAAAATTAATTATTAAATACAAACACTGTAATAAGCTAGTTATTTTAACTTATTGCAATAATTTGCTAGTAAAAATACTAGAACAAAGAAAAGAATAGCAGTGAAGCTAAAAATACTCTTTGCAATGTAAATGGTCAATATAAAAACTGTACCCACTTTGTTTAAAGCACATGCAAAATCACACACGATTTCTACACTCCTTGTATCTTAACCTACCAAAGCTCAGTTTTACATAAATTAAACCAATTAAAATTCAAACCAATGTCTTTTGTTTAAAGTGCAAATGACAAATTTTAAACAATTCTATCTACTTTTTAACCTGAAATTATCAGCAAAAAAATCTTAACTGAAATATCCAGATTTCAAATTTTCACCATATAAATTTTATCAAAATTTAATTAGATGAATAAAAATATTAAAACTTAATTCTAGTGTTAGACAAGCATAAAATGGTTACGAGGTCTGTCCCAGATACCGAGCCTGGGTCGAAAGAGTTAAATATACAGAACACATCTTTATGTATGCATGTATAAATTATGGTTCTATTTTATACATTGACAAGTTATATTTGTAGGTAGGAAATTTAATTATTTCCACCATCCTGATAAAATAATTTTGAGCTAACAATTTGGATTTTCATAAAATTACTTTCTCCCAAACAACTGTTATTAAAACATACAAAAAAAAAAATCAGAAACCTCAACATTTTAATTACAATTCTTTTTTGTACGTAATGTGAGGGAAGATATCAAAACTTGACAAGTCATTTTGCTCGTGTAAAAAGACAAGATAACTAAGATGGATTGGTTATGTACAATACTTACCTCTGTTGATGAATGGCAGCTAACTGGGCACCAATTGCTGTTTAAAAAATAAGAATAATGTTTCTAATATTGTTTTTCCTTTGATATATATAACACACACATCTCTCCTGAAAACTATAGTTTTATTGTAATGCTCTGATGAAATAAGCTTCCAATATCTACTAGGTGATTTTAAAAAATAACTTGGTAAATCATGTATTACTAATTTTTGGTTTTAATAATGAACACATTTTAAGTCATTTCAAAATAACAGGAATATACCAACATTGTCATAAGCTTACAATTCAGAATAATCAAGAAAGTATAAATTACAAGATTAACCCGATACTCTCCGGGGCCATTTTGTTTTATTGTGTGGGCAAAATCATTTGTGAATTGAAAAAATGATAGAGATCTTTTATTGGATTTCAGATTTTATTTTTGTAAATAGTAGCACAACATTCAATTATTTGTACAAAATTGTATTATTTAATGAAGTTTAAAGAGGAATTTAATGAAAAAATTCCTCAAATACGTTTTAGACTGTAAATAAGCGCCCTCTAAAAAGAAATGTTTTTTTTCAAAAATTTTTTTAAGATATTTTCTTTCACTTCAGCACTGGTCCTGCCATCTATGATTGGTATCTAAACCTTTGTCTAGTCTGTTTTCTTTATAAAACTGCGTCTGGGCGTGTTAAACCTCAGTTGTAAAACTTTTAGCCAATCCTAGTCGAAAGTGTCAATTTCAGTACCAATTATTCCAATTGCTGTATCTCCCATTTGACAAATCATAGGATAAGGAAAGTACATGATGAAACGTTGTTCTCTGGATTTTACAATATGAACGTGGGTGGTGGTTATTATAGTAACTGCCATTTTATGTAGAGGTTGTATTTAGTACTGGCCAATAGGGCTTTTCTATAAGCGTTAGAAAAGTTGCTTCTGGAATTGAAAAATAACTCAAAATGGATATATTTTTTAGGAAAGAAGTTGATCCACGATTGTTAGGGTTAAGAGTTATCGAGTGGCAAGTGCAAAGTCTTTACATGAATTAGACCTAGAACTTTGAACTGAAAGAGTTTGTGATTTTTTATATTCTTTGGAATTTAAATTTGTAGTTTTAAGTTCAATAATTTAGCATAATTTTATATTTAGTTCATAATAATAATAATATGATTCAGTATTTAGAATGATAAACTTGTGTGATTTGTACGTAATACTGCTAGTACCAGTACCACAAGAATTTTGATATTTTTCCATCTTACAATCTTTGCTTTGTAGTAAGACCCACACTTCTGTTGTTATTGCGTTAGAATTAAAACAGTAACTGATATATATATTTAGTTTATTCTGATATTTTGCAAATGGTTCAAACTCAGTGTACAAGTGACAACAATAAAACCCATATGTTGGTTGTGAAACTGGCTAAATTCATTCATCTCAATAATACAGGGAAGCTATGACATTCTCACAGTTGGGGTTTCAATACATTGAAGAGCTTAAGTTTTTGCATTCCAAC